CTGCTCCCCCTTGTCCTGGTGGGACTCATCTGCACTGCAGCCTGCAGCTCTGCCCACCCAAGGCCACTCCCGTCCTTTTCCCTCTCTGCAGGTGTCAGAGCTGTGGAATGCTGTGGAGTCCTTCCTTCCCACCCACACCTCCCCTCTCTCTCCCTTATCAATCGTGCCTACCTTCTCCCCTCCAAAGAAATGGGTTCGACATTTCAGTCCTCCTGCTTTGGGGAGGACTCAAACACCTCATCCAAGCTTCTCTCTCCTTGTGTTAATTTTCAGAAAATCGAAACAGATCCATTTTCCAACTGCAACCTACCTAGTAGGAGAGGAGCCAGCTTCAAAACATAGATACTTACAATACAACCTGGAAGTGTCCAGAGAAGAAAGCTTGTTTACTTACGAGCCTTATGACTGACTCGATGCTATGCACCTTGGTTCTCAGGTGGCTGCTGTTGTGATGGTGGATCAGAGTATCACAGGACAGTAGAGACCCCAGGGCCACCTCAGACTCCGCCTCTGGCTCCTACTTCTCTGCCTTCAAACAAACTCAATTCAGGTGCATCTAGGGAATATTTCCTTTGACCTTGGTTGAAATTCTAAGGCATCTTTTTCAAATCATGGCCAAGAAGAAATCTTTTTCAGTCTCCATTTATTTATCCCGTTTTTTTCCTATAATAATCAACCATAGACTTCTATGCTTCTAAAACTAAAACTCCTCTCAAAAACCCTAGTGACCTCCTAATGTTTTCATTTCCTGATGGACTTTCTTATTTTTCATGAATGAATACATAATATTTCCTATTGATAATTGTTGACTTCTAAAAATGATAACAAAAATCAGTTTATGTAATACATCTACATCCTTGACCAATCCCCTTCTGAATTMTTCACTGGTAATAAATTTCCTAGCACCCAAATAAAGACATTGTCAGTGATTCTATATATTTTGTYTTCTCTTTTCTTTATCCATTAATTATTTCAATTTACTAAGAAATGATTTCTACTTTCAGTTTCCCATCATTTTTGTGTTTCTGTGGAAGAGTTATAACTTTCTCTTGATTGTCACAGTTAGATAATTTGCCAATAAGTCAAAGCCAATGCTTTAAAGGACAATTGTTCACATTAATGGTTTAGGCCCTACATTCTGCAATCTCTGGCTCTAWCTAATTTTCTAAAAATGGAAAAAATACTTCTTGGGAATTTTTAATAATAAAATAAAAACATGCTTGATTTTTTTTCCTACTTTATTCTTTCCAATCATTGTTCTCTAGTCAGCTRTACACAAAAATTGAGCATAAAATTCCTTTGCATATACAATAACTTCTCCATTACAGGGATGTRGCCCATATTTTGACTTTTATAAGAACTATATTTATTCAATGACATCTTCACTAATTTTTACCAGATTCATTTATTTAGCTAATAGTTGTTATTTATTCAACCGGTATTATTGAGTCCCTACGGCATGCTTTGAGGAGATAATATAGATAGTTCTTGTTGCCATGGAGCCTGTAGTCAACTGGGAGCTGACAAGCACTTAATACATATGTAATAATACTCTCCATAGATTCTTTGAAAATAAAATACCCAAATTAAATTTGGGGAGCCATGATTAGAATAACTATTCACAAAATTTCTAAGAACACAAGTTGAAACCTGAAGAATGAGATTATATAAAATGTCTATAATGTAGAGACACACCAACCAATAGACAGATATCTGTACCCATTTCAGGCTTCAGCTGGTAGCTATCAATTAGCAAATGAGAAACATAACTGTGGATGAGAACACACACACCAGTGACCCCCTAGCCCCTCCATCTGCTCACCACACCTCTTTCCAGTGTGACAGAAGGGGGCTTTGGTAATTAATTGGAAAGCAGGAAGGGAAAAGGCAGCAGGGTGTTGTTTGGCAGGCTTTCCCTGGGACACGTCATCTGATTCCTGTGACCACTGCCACTTCTCTGCAGGAGCAGGATGTGGTCCAACAGCTCTGGCCAGTGTCCCCCTTCACTGCTAAGCCTGTGTCACTTTTGTTAAGGGCCCTCATTCCCAACATCATTCTCAAATTCCACACCAGTCCTTTCCTCCATTCCAATCTCTGTTTTGTTTGCTATTTATGTTTCACTGAGTTGGGAAGGATGAACCTTTTAWATGGCATCTACTACCAGCGATGTAAGTCATGAGCGTTCTTCAGTCAACAGCCACACCCAGCTTTATATCACAGTGGGAGCGCTAGGAAGAATGGACTCACAGGTCACCAATTCGGTTTCCTTTATTAATGAGGCAAGAGACCTAGACWTTTGTCATGATGTAGCTGAGGTGTGTAGATAAGGAATGCAAACCAGGCTGAAAACCTGTGTCCACACTTTTTGGACAGGGCAGTCAAGTGTCCTCTATTCCTGGGACAGGCTTGGTTTATCAGTAAGTCCAGCCAGTAGGAAGAGGTCTGCGCCTGTGAATCATGGCTGGAAGCCCTTTCCTCTGAAGCTCTGGGTGGCAGCCCTGTTTTCTTCATCTACATGGAACCCACTTCTCTTTCAGTTCTACCACATGTACAATACCTCTTGATTTTCAACTATGTTCATATTTAAGTGTAAGTGATGTTTCCAAATTTAGCCAACCGCTACATAAGAAAAATGAGATCTTTTCTTAATCAAAAATGTTTTACTTTTCTTACTTGGAGAATCAACTCTCAGAATGAATGGATCCAGAGATATAAGATGCTCACTTAAGAATACTATCTATATTTGTAATCTCAATGATTGYRATTATAGCTGAASTAAGATGAAAYCTCAGYRTAGTTTTCATGTGAATTTCCCAGATTGCTAAGAATGTCRAACAACTTCTTTTTGTATATTTGTTGACACTTGTATTTCTTCTTTTAAGAAATGTTTATTTTAATCTTTGGACCATTTACTGATTTTTAAATTTTTTGTGATTTTTAATTTTTTAAATATATTCTGGATATTAATTCACTATCTGAGGAGCATGTGGCAAGGATCTTCTCTTGTTCTGTATGGTGACCCTTAATCAGTTCCTTTGCTTTGCAGAAAGTTTTTTTTTTTTTTAATTTGATGATCCTGCTATTAACTTAGTTTTCTTTCTTGAACATTAGAGGTTTCATTAAGGAAGTCAATGCTTGCACCAGTATGTTGAAGAGCTGATCCTAGGTTTTCCACTAGCACTTGCAGTGTTTTTGGTCTAGTTCCTAGGTCTTGAATCTGCTTTRATTTGATTTTCATTCAAGCAGAGGGAGAAAAATCTAATTCCATTCTTCTACATGTAGATATCCAGTTTTGCCTGCATCATTTATTCAAAGGGCTGTCTTTTCTCCAACATAAGTTTTTGATGATTTTGGCAAGGATCAATGACTGCGTGTATATGGACTTCTCTGTGTGGTACACTCAGAAATTGTTTGAGGGACTGCAAATTGGTACAACCACTTTGGAAAGAATATGGAGTCTCCTCAAAATAATAGGAGTGTAACCACCATGTGACCCAGTTAACCTAGTCCTCGGTATTTGTCCAAAAGAACAAAAATCAGCATACTACAGTGATACATGTATACCAATGTTACAACAGCACAAATTCATGATAGCCAACCTGTGGAACCAAACCAGATGCCCTTCAAATGATGAATGGATAAAGAAAATGGGGTATATATACACAATGGAGTTTTACCCAGCCATAAAGAAGAATGAATTCTGGCATTTGCTGGTAAATGTATGGAACTAGAGAACATCATATTAAGTGAGATAAGCCAGACTCAGAAAGTCAAAGGTTGAAAGTTTTCTCTCCTGTGGAAGCTGAGTGGAGGGGGGTAGAAATGGAATAAAAAGGAGATCAGGAAAACAGAAAGGAGACCAACAAGTAGAGGAAAAGAATCAAGAGGATAGAGAGGAAAGCCTGGGGAAGTACTGCAGAAAGAAATCTACAAATTACACTGTGTCCTTGKGTTGATATACCACAATGAGCCACACACACAATTATAATGCACTAATAATAATAATAACAACAATAATAATATCAATAGAAAGAATAACAGTAGAGTAGAACAAACAGATCCAGAGGAAGAAGGAGGAGAGAGACAGGGAAGATACTAGGGAATGAAACTGATCAAACTATATTATGGGCATCTACAGCCACACCAAAAGGAATTCTACTTTTACATATAAATATAATGCACCAATAAAGGAAAACACACTATTTATGTGWCTATTTCTGCTTCCAGTGAGCTGCTGTTGGAGATGTGATAGAAGGAAGARGATGTGGACATTCCCTCTGCGAAACTGAAATGGAAGGCCACCATTCACRTGACCATCACTTGTGTCCCCAATGGGAGTCATAAATTGGGGGCCAGGAGGACGACTCTGTAAAACACATCTTGTGCACTGATTCTGGGAGCCACTGTGCCAAGTGCTTTACTGGCATCACCTCTGTACACAATGACACTCTGCAGGATATGCTTTCACTTTCCCCACTTGGTGACAATGAAAGTGAAGCCCAGGAGAAGGTAAGGGGCRGTTCTTCAGGCCTGGAGTTGCCATTCAAACTGAATGTGTCTGGCTTAATCGCTTTTATCCTTTTATTTTTCTTAAGGTTTTATAGCATTTAATTTTTATCCATCACCATCAGCGTTATATACTCCTTGTCATTAACTGAATTTGATTCTGGATGGATTTCAGCAGACAACATCTCTTCCATTTCTTCTTGGGAGAATGGTTCCCCTTCTTCAGTCATACACTTTGTGAGTTCTTCCTTAGTAAGAAACTCATGTCTAGCAGCATCTAAAACCTCAAAAGCTCRAAGAAGGACTCCTTCTGGAATTGGTCTCTACCTACTTTCTACAAGTATTTTGTTCATCACTGGAAGGAAGTTTTCATATTGAATATATCCAGTGGGTTCTTCTTCTTCTACCTCTGCAAGCAGGTCATCTAGCTTTCCCTCACTAGGGCAGCATCCTAATGACCTGATAATTGTCCCAATTTCTCATTTTATCCCCCAAGGGGATACAGCATTCCTGGATGTACTGCAATACCAGGTYSATGCKTGGAGTGGATGGAGCAATCTCCTACTCCATTTCCCTGCTCCAAAAATGCACTTAATATATTGTYCTCGGATAGAGGACATATCAGGTATTAAAGTGATAAGAACACAGACTACACTTGAYCTCAGCCAAAAGGCCGAGAAGCAGTATTATAGCTTTTATTCTTAATGCCAAGTACACTCTCTCCATTTGAAAAATGTTCATAATATTCTGTATTTTTTTTTTAATTTTTGTTTTGCTTCTTATATTTACTTTTTTTTTCTGGATTCCTTTCTTTGGAATCATCTGAATTCCAAAGCCTCTTAGAGTGAAATTATAATCTGCATCTTCCTTAGGGCGTAGGGTATAGACAGGCATTAAGAGACAGATTTGGGAAATGTAAATTGACTTCCATTTTCCAGTTACTTTGGGGTGAACTCAGCCATGGAGCACATGACCAATTTCTAAGAGTTACTAAACTGATGGACAAGCAGACAGCACAGTTTTATCTAATTCAGAGGAGTGAGTGAAGGTACTGAAGGCTTCCATGAGCCTATGAAGGTACTGAGCCACAGAGGAGCAGTGGAGGGCCAGCAGCCCCTTTGGTACTGCCCCCACTTCACCTTATATTCCACCAATGACAAATTGACACTCACTAAGCTCAGTTAGCAACATGCTAGGAACAGCATCTTCTCTTTATTTACCACTCTCTATGCAAACTTGCATTTTAACTGGTGTATTTTTTAACCTTTAAGTCTATCTGGGAGGATGAATAATAACAGAGTATTTTTATTGTGTTCTATTAACTAATTTTCTACCTCACCTCCTCATAATCTTTGACTCAAGTTCACACTGTGTTTGTGGAAGGCAGGAAGTTTTGCTTTTAGAAAACTGTACATTGAAGCATTTCATGCATTCTTTGCAGTCCTTATGGATGACTCTCTGGGGTTAAAGAGATATATGTAGGTACAAAAGGCAAGACACAGAGGTAAGACATCTTTCCAGTATATCTTATTAACGAGCACCTAAATGGGCCTTACCATGCATTTCTACTCCCTCCTCATCTGTTCAGTCCCTTCCTGTTCCACTGGGTGCTCCTGTTGGTCCTCTTCTCAGTGTAAATCACACTTTACATGGGTCAGTGCACCAAAGCATTCAGGGCCCAAGAAACTCATTTAAACACATCACATCATTTTTGTCACCTTTGTCTAAATTTATAACAGAAATATGAATATACAGGAAGCTATACCTTTATAAATGAATTCCTTTCTACAGTGTAGCTAGCCTCTGATTTACATTAATCTGTAGTAACTTGCACTTACTGCTTTTCAACTAATTTCTAGACTCCAAAATAGCAATCTAATTTTCCCCCCTCAGTCAGGAAAGTGCCTGATAAAATTGTAAAGCCACCATGTTGCTTTACACCCTGATTGTGTCCCAAGAAGGTACTGACTTGAGTATTTGACTTAAAGACACAGCATTTATTAGTAAGTAGTTAAAATAAATCTTAAAACACACACTGATATTGAATGCGTCRTTAATATCTCTATAAAAACAGAATTCAAAAACTTTAAAAGTTTTGGTKTAAAATCAATTTTCTGATTTGTTAGATAAAGGAGATACAAACTAAGAAGAGGTTTTAAGCCACTTGAAAACAATATGGAACCAAATACATTAAAATCTGAAGAAGAACAGGGAAAGGTTTAGATTTGTTTGATTTCAGAGCTCTTAGGATCTTGTGCCAATCTATGGTGTTGATTGTCCACATTAAGAATTTTTGCACACACTAGTGACTGATTGGTGAAGATTCAAACTTTCAGTGAGTCACAGGAAAAGGATGGAAATTAASTCTAATGACCGATGTGTTAGTCAGCTTCCCATTACTGCAATGAATATTGATATAATSGGCCTATCAGGAAGGAAGTTCTATTTTGTCTCACAGTGTGAGATACTTCGGTCCTTGTCCATTAGTCCTGTTCCTTTGGGCCTCTAGTGGGCAGTGCTTGGAGGAGCAAAGCTATTCACCTCTTGGCTGGGAGTAAAGAGGAGAGAGGTGAAGGGACTAGGGGCCCACAAACCCTKTCCAGGGCACACCCTCAATGACCAGGAGACCTCCCCTAGGTTCCCCCCTTCATGTTTCTTCAGACTGTCTTTAACCCTTGGTCCGTTGGAGGATATTTCTGATCCAAGCATAGCAAACCCAGCTGCCTCCCACCCCGTCCTGTGTGGCTACTCAGGACTGCATGAGTTTCAGCCTATTGTTCAGCAAGTCTACTATGAAGTGCCCAATATCATCCATTCACACCCCTGCTGCTGGTTTGTTGAGAGTAGCAGAAGCATCCATGGCTACTCAGGTCTGAAACCTACACGAAGTGGGTTGGTTTCAGAAGGAAAAGTCCAGGGGTCAATGTGGCTCCAGGCTTTCCAGAGCTGCTTTCAAACTCACTGGAGTTATTGCCAGATTTCAGATCCAAGTGGCAGTAGGACTGAGGTGGCTGACTGTGAGCCAAGGCTGGCTCTCAGCTTCTGGTGGCTCCTCCTCCGTGGTTCAGTGCCTCCTTCCTCAGTGTCTATGTCAGCAAACGAGAGTGAAACCTCAGGCCTCCAATCTCTCTGAGCTCCCTTTGCCTCAGCTCTGCTCGGCCTTTCTGTGCCTTCACATTTTCTCACTCCAAGTAGGAGAAGAATGTCTTTGTTTGGGAAGGACTCCTGTGAATAGACAGGATTCTATAGAGAGTCTCAGATAGACCCTTACTTTTGTTGGCAAACATAATCACATCYGCCCTTTCACAGAAGCACCAAGATTAGTGTTTTATTACATAATCTGAAGATGGTAATTACAGAGTACATCTTTAGAATCCCATCCACCACAGGCATCCAGGAACATGCTATACAATATGTTACMCCATTAGTCAGCCAGTTTTTCTTGCTACTTGGTATTGTCAATGTTGGAACAATTAGGCAGACCATTCTACTTTCAGTCATGCTGCCCTTTGACTAAATAGATACTATGCATCAAATATCCCCTTGGATTTTTATCTCCATTTCTGTTCCTCTATCTCATACCCTAAATGCTAATGTGCTGAATAAAATGGTGGATGTTGTCTTCTTTCTTGTTTCAGTGCTTTGATGGGGGCATAGTTTCAAGACTCTTACTATTTCTTAGTTCTTCTTTAAGAAGCACCACTAACTTTAACCTTATTATATTTGTGTTCAAAGATAACCTCTAGACATTTTCCCCTTTTCTTACCATTATCCTGAAATTCAGTTAAACATTATTGATAAATTTTTTTTTAGTTACGCATCATCCAATAACATGCAGTCCACAGAGAGCCACTATAAGTGGATAGGTTCAATTAAAAAACAACATTGTTTTTAATCTCTAGTTGAAAAGAGAGTAAGTGAAGGTAATGGATAACTCAGCAGAATTGACAATGCTCATAACTGACACTAAAACACCAACACAYGTATCCTATAAGTTACATAAAACATACATTATAATTGCCACCAATGTATAAATCAAAATTTACAAGTCTTTTACTACATCATACTACTTTCATAATTAACCCACTTTGAACTACCACTTGTGATTGCMGTCTTAATGTCTCCATTGTCCCAGGGAACTGGCTTTTCTGATCCTAGATGGGATCTGCCTCTCTTGGCTACTCCATCAGACTGTGTGGGGACAACCCTCATCTCAGTGATCCAGGTCCACAGCAACTTTCTGAACACTATGTGRAAGGAGGTTAATTACATATCACCTAGAAGTTTAATATTCCTGCCCAGGAGCACACCTGTAATCCATGTGACTCGGGAGGTTGAGGTAGGAGGAGAGTGAGTTCAAAGCCAGCCTCAGCAAAAGAGMGGTACTAAGGAACTCAGTGAGACCCTTTCTCTAAATAAAATACAAAATAGGGTGGGGGATGTGTGGCTCASTGGTCAAGTGTTCCTGAGTTTAATCCCCTGTGCCCCTCCCAAGAAAAAAAAAAGTATTCCCATAGGGACTTCACTTAAAAAGAAAGCATAACTTCTATGGTCATTAAAAAGAAAATATTTTAATGTATTCTGAAAGCACATATGCTACTGTATCATATTTTTWATGTTTTGACAAACAAATTTCATTACAAATGGAATTCTTTGTAATTCTAAGTATTTGTATATTTTGAAYACAACAAATCAGAGAAAGAATGTACAGGTTTACCAGATGGTTTACCATATTGTCTTATAGGACCTATGAGAAAACAGCTATAAAAATTGGTTAAGGGTTCCTGAAATATGACAGTGTACTGTGTCTAGAACCAAGCTGCACCTTGTCCACTAAATCCATCTCTTCACCTGACTAATAATAACAGCACCACACTTTTAGTTTTCTAGTCTCTAATTCTTACTTGACAGGGAACCCAACATCTCTATGTGATAAGTGCTCAGCCTTCATTTATTTCTCGACAGCCTGTGTGTGTGTGTGTGTGTGTGTGTGTGTGTGTGTGTGTGTGTGTAGAAGAATGAGTGAGAGAGAGAGAGAGAGAGAGAGAGAGAGAGAGAGAGAGAGTTTATAGCAGCAAAAATTGACAATCAGTGTTCAGTCTCTCTTTTCATTCACTATCCCTGCTTTGCCTTCTCAGCACATTCAGGATTGCAATGTCTTCTTGTTTGACTGATTTATCATTATTTAATAACAATTTCTATCTCTGACATTTTTTTAACTCTGAGGTCCATATATTAAGATAATAATTTCTGATATAGTTTTATTAAACTTTTCATGATATATCTTCTACATTATTAAATTCAGCTTGTATATRTTATTATTAAATTCAAAATGAGATTCATTTACATAGAATAAATTGGGCTAYACACATATAAATACTACTGGTCTTTGTTTCTTTTAACTTGGTTTATTTRTACCATTTATATTTAATGTAATTATTGATATGTCTGACATAAAACTTGCTCTTTTATTTTGGTTCCATTTATCACYTCTATTCTTCACTTCCATTGTCTGTTTTCTTATTTATTTAAGTTACTTGAGCATTCATTTAGAATTCCATTTTGGTTAATCTGTGCTCTTTTTGTGTGTCTCTTCACAGGTATTCATGCTGTCCAGTTGAGATCATCTTTCTGCTCAAACGAAGAGTACCTTCAAGTCCCATTACCTAACTTGGTGATAATACA